TAGGTAGTTCATTCTGTCCCTGAACCGAGCCATCCCACCAGCCTTTAATGCTCAAATGAACATTTATAATTGGCAAGTGGGAGACGAAATTCCAAGTCTGTGGAAGAACAGATCGTAAGTAATTGGTAAGTCCTGCTTCAGCTACAAGACAAAGCTGTAAAATGCTGCCATTATAATAGAAAATATAACTGTACATTCTACACATTTAATGTGTAGTTAAAAAACAATTTTTATGTATTAATAAGATTCAAATAAAAAAAATCAGGATTGTTACTGGAAAATGCTCTTTCATTAACTTCTTACTGTACCTCTCCTAAGCAAATAAAACAATTGTGAAACTCCTTAAGTGCACTATATATGCTCTACCATGTTTACTGTATATCTGAATAAGAAAAAAACTGTTTTCCACTTCTGGTTAAAGTATTATTTCCTATAAGCACTAAAAACTCCTATAATTGAGTTTTGAATTAAAACTTTGTGGCATAATCCATAATGAGCCAGTCAGTGCAATGCTAATTAGTGATGGGCAAACCTCAAAGAGTTCAGAGGATCAGTTCAGATAATTATCAGACAGTTCAAATGCTCATCTGAAGTTATCCATACTTTAAAAAATATGTTATGTATTCATCTCCTTGAACATCTGTTATCCTTACAATTCTCCTAAAGACTCTCAAGTTCTTCTCCTACCTTATCATGGTCTCGGTTTTATCCCTCTCTGCATCCCTCTACACAGAGCTGATATTAGGTACACATGACCTACATTATTCAATATGGTGCTCCTTTAGTACTGGATGTGATGGCCTGAAAACGCACTGCAGTCCTATAGCCCTAGAGTAGGGACACAATACACAGTAGCGGGCAGAACAAGTAATGACATAAAAAATGGAGCTAAAAGTGGTGGCAATAAAGCAGATTTTCATCTAGAAGGCAGAAGAAGGGCAGAGATCAGAGTGATAGGTTCATGGGAAATAGAGAAAGAAGTAAAAACTACTTTGGAACCACACAGAGCTAGAAGAATAAGGCTAGGGGCAGAAGTTACGCATAAACGGGTTTATATGATCAGAAACTTGTTTAAACCTGTAACAGAACAGAACCTTAGTGCACATAAACCAGTCTGAAAATGGGTGAAAATGGTTTAAGATAAACCTGGCTGAATGTAGTATCAGACTTAACTGAATTGAGTCAAACTGGTTTATGAAACTTCTGTCCCAGATCCTTTCCTGGTTCAAGTTAAATCACAGTCCCCCAGCATCCCAGCATGCTTTCTAGCCCTGGGGTGGGCTGTACTGTCTGTGCCAGAGAGCAGGGTTGTCCCTACCCGGCCCCTCTGCTCTCTATCTGGAACAGTGAGGGCTGGCTGACAAAAGGGGGGGCGGGGGGGCAAGCACCGCTGGATATGCAGCCTAGTCCATAGGGGGGACTTTTCCGTCCCCCTGGCAAACCCTGGCTGAGGTCCTGGGCCAGGGAGGGGGGGGGGGGGGTTAAACACACCTTCCCCTGCTCAAACTTACTGCTGGCTGCAACTGTGGGCTACAAATCCCAGAGGCACCTGGAAACAGGAAGAGGAAGTGATGAGCAACCCTGTAGTGTCCTGCTGTTGTAATTCTGGACTGCAAATCCCAGAGATCTGGGGGCAGCATGAAGAGCAAGTGAACAAGCAGCCAGAGAGCCCTGCTCTAGCACTCCCTGGCTTTCTGGCCTGAGCCGCTGCAAACATGTGACTGCATTTCATTAATCAAAGGTAAATGTCTGTTCACTTCTGTTTCAGTTGAATATGTGCAGCTTAGACTAACGTGCAAAGACTGAATCAATTCAGCCTTGAGCTTTTTGACTGTCTGTACCTAGCCTAAGTACTGAAAAAACTTGGCAATTCCCACACAATTATTATCTGTTCCCCAGCAATCCTTAGGGACAGAAATGATTCCACCTTTGGGTGGGGCGGGGTGGGGTGAGGAGGGGAGGGATAGGGGTGGCGGCTAGGAAGGAAAGAGAGGGAGAAACCTACTAACACTTCATGGAAGAAAGAGGATCGAGGTATTCACTGAATGGTCAACAGGAGAGAATGCAAAGAAGGGGTGGGACCATGGGCGACTGGTGCCACCTTACTCGGGGGGAGGGGCATGTGCCTCTCCAGTGACCAGTCAATGACCGGGGTGGGGGGTCCCCCCACGGCTGATCTTGCCAACTGGGGGAGGGTCTCTCCGTGGCTGATCTCACTCACCAGCTCCCAGAAGTGGCCGCGACATTTCCACTCCCGGGCCGGCACTCATGGGGGGTGCCGGTGCTCCCGCTGGCCCCCTTGCCCATTGCCTAAGCGGGGAGCGTGGCCTGTTAGGGGGTACACCAGCACTCTTAGAGGGTGCATGTGCACCCCCTACACATTGCCACTGACTGGGACAGATGTAATGAGCATGGAAAAGAGGTTTGGATTTCTTCATTTTAACTTTATTTTTCCCTATATCAGTGTGACCATTTTGTACACAAAATAAAACAAATTTAATAGATTTGGCTTGATTTCTTTGATTACATTTTCAATGTCAATGGGTTTGAAGTCCTGAAAAACACTCACTGTGATTCATAATTATAGTAAGTTAGTAGATAATGAAGTTTACCAGTTTCCTTAAGGTAGCTTTAACTGACAAAGGACAGGAAAACTGGACTGTAAGCCCAAGCTAAGTAGACAGACACTAGGAAAAATAACACAAGCTTCCTCCCTCCGATCTGAAACCAACTTACAGCCCAAAGAAACTCTCATTTGATAAATGCTACTAAGATTTCATTACACTTATATTCCCAACTTACCCACTACCAATGTATCATGAAATCACCTCTGATAAACTATCTTCTTTGTCTGTCTACACTGATGCAGCCATACTTCACTGGCTACCGAACCTTGTTGTGGGACCCAGGCTGAAGCTATCGCTATGGCACTGTCCATGCAGTAGCAGCCGCTCTAACTCCAGCACACAGCAGGGGTTGAAGCTGCTGCTGTGTATTCCAGGGCCGCGTTCACATGAGCGCAGCTGTTTGTTTCTCCAGGTACAAATAGCAGTGGCACACTTTGTGCTGTTGCTGCTTGACCCTGGGGCATGCCCATGCCATGTGCTTTACCTAGAGTCCTGGGGGCCTCAGGGAGCTGCAGCCGCAGTGCTCCTGCATCTGGGAGACTGGCTGGCAGCCAGAGCCTGGCTCTAGCCAGGCAGGCTCTGGTTTTGGTAGGCATGTGTTGCTGCCATGTGTGCTGCCCCCCTCCCCCCCACTTTTTTTTGGCATGGGGTTTTTGACCCTGGGATGTCCCAGGGTCAAAAGAATCCTTCGTGCTGCAGTGTGGGGAACACCTGCATGTGCAGTGTGTGGCACCGCAGACGGGTCTGCAGTGCCACATATCACACGTCCATGCTCATTTGGACACAGTCCAGGAGTTGGAGCTGCTGCTGCCACATGCTCCAGGTCAGAGCCAGAGCTGGAGCTGCTGCTGCAGTTTCCTCATGCCCCTGCTCAAATCCAGCTCACAAAGAGCTCCATGACCCTGTGTACTGTATGCAATCCCAGTTTTAACTATGGCTACTGCACTAGAATCTGTTTTAGCACATAGAAAGAATCCTGTTGTAACAGAGTAGGTCTGATTGAAGAATCATACTATTCTCCAGGCCTGTTTCCTGAAGTTATGAATTGTGCTATGGTAAATAAATTGAAAGATCTCAATAAGGTTAATGGTCTCTGGTTGCTGAGACATCTGTAGCACAGCAACTGTTTATCTGCCAGGTAATATGGAAACATTGACATACTTCTCTTGTTGAAAATAATATCAGGTGGAGTCTGCTAAAATCTGTAGTAGCATACTTCTCTCTCTTATAAATACACATATCTACAGATATGTATGCTAAACCTCAGATCCATTCTGCATAACTACTGAGTATCATTTTCAAAGGTGCCCCATTAATTTAGAAAAAAAGACCCAGATTTGCAAAGGAGAATAGACTCAACAATGTTCAGCACCTTCACACCTAATGTTTAAACACGTGTCTCTGGGAGCGGAATTCACAATGCCAAGGGAGCGAATCCATAAGGAAAGTTAGGACTCTAAGACTGAGATTCAGAGCACCTAGCATGCTGATCAGAGGAATGGGCAGAAGAAAACACTAAACCAGTGGTTTTCTAACTTCTTTAGACTCGAGGCACCTTACTGTAACTTTTATGAATTGAACCCATTTCAAACACTAATTTATTACAGTACTTACCTCCTTGCAAAGGGGCTGTGTTGTGGGGACGGGGAAACAGCCAGGCAGGGACTAAGCCTGATCCTGCACTTACATGTTTATCTCCTTGCATCTCGCATATGTGCTCAGCACCCCAGGGCACCCAAGCATCCTGAGAGAGAATCACTGCGCTAAAGAGAAGGGCTTGTCTGAAAGCCTACCTCTTTCCAGAACTAAAGCACCGACCCTGGTATTTACAGACAGACTGAAACCATTTCTTTGATTTAGCCATCTTACGACATTCCACTGGATGCAGATGACTAGTTCGGTCTTTTAAAATGTAGTGGTACTCCCACTCATGTTTTACATAAAACATAATGGTCAGAGCATTTGCCTAGGAAGTAGAAAACTCCAGGTGTAATGCTCTGTTCACCCTGAAGGGCTCAAACTCAAACTCCCACCTCCCAGAAGAGCACCCTAACCACTAGTCTTGAGGCAAAGTTGTCAGGAGGTACCTTCCACCCTTTGGTTGATGCTGATACCACGCTGCTGCTCAGCAAAGAATGCAAAATTCACAGAAACAGTAACATATAGGGACACCAAGTCTGTGACTCTCAAAACAGATTTAAGTCTGAGACAGGTGCCAAGATGTTGAGATATTAAAATATTGGTTACTTTGAGCCCTGGTTGGTCACAAGATATCAGGCATAAGAGCTATAATATTGAATATAATATTCTAAGATTTAAATATAAAATATAATTTTTACATAAAAGCAACTGTAGGCCTTTTTGGCATGCCTTTCTTCCTTTGTCCCTTGCACAGTTTGATTTGTGATAACTGAGGCACACAGGTTTACAGATGAAGGAAGGGAAACAAGACGTCCTACTAGAATCATTTTTAATAAGCTGTCAATCATTTTTTATCGTTTTTGTTCAGCAAAAAGTGTGGCATAACTGTATAAGGATACATATAAATATATAATGATAAAATATAAGGCTTTATCAGCCCATATTTGGGTTGCTCTGCATAACTCGTTCGTCATTTTGACATATGAGTAATATGGCTATTTCATGCCCTCATATATGAGACCGCTCCTGATTTTTTAATGTATCATATATCTCCTCTTTATATGTGTCTATATTTACAAACACACATCTACATATACATACATATACACAGTGTAGGTACACACACATATATACAAGCTATTTTTGAAGAAACTGCTAAGACATTTCAATACCAGCCAAACATATTTATCTGAGGATTAATCTTCATCTATTGAATCAGACAAGAACACTGCCATGCATACAATTATTTAATTAGCAGCCAAATCCTCTGCCAGTCAGCAGCCGTTCCAGGCATACTGATGGGGCAGTAGATGCAAATCTCACAGTAGTACTGCTTTTTCTCATTACTACTGCAATTAGCACTTAAATTGATGCTTTAAACATACTAATTTCTGGAATAATTCAGGATTTGTATGTTACCTGGGATCGCCTCACTGCAGAGATGACACCAGATTGCTACGCAAATTGAAGCACTTTTGAGCCAAATAACCATCATCATATCAGACAGAGCCAATTTGCATTTGCTTTTAAAGATAACAGAATGGCAATTTATGCAAATAAATTAAGTAAGTTTACTTCTGAGTTCTCCCTGAACTAATTATAACAATGTTCTAATTTTTCATCACATCTAAAACTTGGACTGAAATCAATATGTATTATGTTAGAAATCTGTTGTTGTTAAAGGAGACCTTGTTTTGATTTAAATAATTTTTTATTCAAAATTTTGATGGTAATTTAGTTAGAAATGAAGATGTTTGTTATAGGCATTTAAATGCCCTCCTTTTTGTTTGCACAATGGTGTTTGGTTTAACAGAAACTAAACAGTCAACATATATCATTTTTACCTTCAGCTAGGAACAATTAGAATTAATTTTCTTAATAATACAAGTTTTGAAGTTTTCTTGTGTAGTATATGGGCATTACTATACTATTGCCCGGAAGTTATTTAAAAAGACTGCTACAATAAATAAGATAACTATAGACAAAATATTTTGAAGCTGTAGTTTCCTTTCCTTAAGAAGTGGTGAATATTCGTATGCTTTTTCTCTTTCAGACAGAAATGGAATGCTGGATCTTTTCACAACCTACTTCTCTTAGTAGCTGTTTAAAAGTACATTTCTGGAACTAGCAACCATGACATTTGTGATTATGAGACAATTCTGAGAAGTTTCATAACTGTTGGCAGATAAAAATGGCCTAGTCAAACACCTCCCAGGGCACAAAGAACAGTACAGTACTTATATATGAACGAAAAACCAAGTTGGTGTTACTGGTTAACAGCGAAGTGGGGTGGGAAGGAACCCACCTCCTGGAACAGGAGCAACAACCTATGGTCCCACAGGCTGGATCTAGCCAGTGCCGCCGCTGGATCTGGCCTGTGGACATGGGACTTTGGAGACAGAGGGCTCTCCCCATGCTGCTGCAGGGAATAACTCCAGCTACAGGTGGGTCCCAGCCACAGGTATAACAAGACAGCTGGGTGTCCGGGGCAGCTGCAATGCATGGTGGTTTCTGGCTGCCAGTGTGGTTGTGAGGTTATGGCAGTAGCAGCTACTTTTCTGCCAGCCCCACAAGCTGAAATCCCGGGATGCTGTCTCAGCCACCTCACCTTAGTTACACTACTGGTCCTAGTGCCTGCCACCCACCTGCCTCTAACTCCAAGTAAGTCATCCTGGTTTGTGATCAGAAAAGGCTGCCTACCACTGCCCTAGAAAATGAGCTCTATCTTGAATTTAGAGTAATGATATATTACAGTTTTTGCAGAAAATCACAGGATATTTCCAAAGGGATTTAGAGAGATTGTTTCTTCCTCCACTCATTTTTCATTCCAGATCACATCTATAACCAACTCTGAACTAATGACAGAAAATGTTACCTGTGTAATGTGTGCAGCTTGCAGCTCGCCATTTACAATGGAAGCAAAAATGTTTTCTTTTCCTTCACAAGCAGCAATCAGTTCAGGAAGACACTCAATAGGTCCTTGGTAACCTCCACGTGTGGCCTTCCTTTTTCCTTGGTTCCACTTTCTGATAAAGACAGGAGTTAGAAAGCAAATGATTATGCTGATACAGGTTTACAAGGACTATAAAGAATGGTAAAAAGGGAAGGAAGACATAAAAAAAAATGTAAGTGCCTAACCCATTTTGCTCAGATGTATTCTACGGAAAATTCACCTGAGGATGAAAAAACATCTTCCTGTTAAGAGCTAAAGTGAAAGTCTGATTAAGACTGAGCTACCTGGTGCTGAAAATGCAATGTTTAAAAACAGTATCAATTGTTAGGCTAGTATTAGAGTTGCTCAGCATCAAACATTTCAATTTTACTTGCAAACCAGTTTAATAATCAGCTAAAGAACACAAATGTTCAAAAAAAATCCTTAATGTTACTGATTTCTGTTTGCAACTTATTTTTATATATGAGGAACCGACCCTTTGTATTCCACATTTTGAAAATTGAAACTTGTGTACAATGGGGACACCTGTTTTAATGAAGCCACCTGTTTTAATGAAATGATCAGTTTTGTGAAATGAAAGATTGAAATTCTCATGCTTATATAGCCAGATTCAGATTGGTCTCTGAGACCCATGTCGCATGTTCACTTACTTGTGTGATGAGATCTGATCCATATACCAACTGTGGCTCTTGCTATACTGCATGTGCATGGCAAGATGTGTGATTTTGGGATCAGGGATCAGATCTAAGGGTACTATTACTACTTGCCAGTACAGGAAGAGCCTGGGATCATGATCCTGCACTCCCCCTACACTAGCAATTTGAAAGCCTCTAGTCCTATATGAACCGGAACAGTCCTGAGGCCAGGACCAACAATCAGCTGATTCCTGGTCCTGGCCCTGTGACTATATCAGGGTCTTGAATTGGCTACAGTGAGACCTTGGACCTGTGACTTACAATCAGCTGATTCCAGCTCTGGAGCCACACAGGAGACTGGAACTAGCTCTGGTTTGTCTCTACTCTGCCACGTGTTCAATTTAAGGTGTGATGGAAACTAGGCACAAAAATATGCTACATCTTTTGTGGACTATTTTTATGGCTGGTTTCCTGTTTTGTCATGTCATTCATTCCTTGAACATGTGGCAGGTATACTATTTACAGTGTGATTAACAAGTTAATCACAACTTAAGTGTAACGTCTGTCAGGGGCGTGAGGCATCCAAATGGGACTTAAATGGAACTCCAGTGGTAAAGTTCCAAAGAGCAGTTCAGTCTGACCCTGCTCTGCAAACCACAAAGCTCAGTATGTAGCCAGATTTAGGGAGTGTCTTTCATTTTCGACTTCTAAGTTCCAGATACACATATTTGGGTTTCTGAGCATGCCCAGAAACAGTTTAGTATAGTCATCCGCATGCCTAACTGCTTTAACACTGTTCTGTGCTTTAATCTGAGCCTAATCTGGGGAGACCACAGTTTCCAAAGAGGCACCTGGTCTGTTAGATCTCCTTCAAGTATTCCTAACACATACAAAAATAATTAAATTCAGCTAAAAAATGATAATACTGCTGCTAACCTTCAGTCCAACAGCCTAATGGATAAGAAACTCAAGGAAGAAGTGGAAGACTTGTGTTTTAGATTTTCTTCAACTTGAGGGGAGTCATACCGATAGCTCTCACCACTGTCCTAACCACCAGCCAATAAGGCTAGGCTGGGGTCCCTACTCTGGTTTATTTATACATATTATCTAATAGCCCTTTAGTACACAATGCATAAAGAGTAGTGGGAATGAGGACCCATTCTTTCCAGGCTCCCCATTCTTTTCTGGGGAACATATTAATCATTATGCTACAAAGGCAAGCTCCCTCTTTTTTTTAGCCCTAAGACTCTTGCACTCCTGGCTGGTTGCCAAGTGGTCCAGCCTAAAAACAGGAATGTGGACAATGTTTCTCCCTGTCTATTCTATAACTTGGTAGTTAATCTTGGAAAGTGGGGATATGTACTCAAATCCCTTCAGGCTAAGGGAGGGTAGAATCCAGGTTTCTGCTTTCTGGGAAGACAGAGGCTTAGCAGGGCAGCTTTACAACCAGGATAGTGCCAGCTGCCACAGTGCTGATGGTGGCAGCAGAGTCAACTATAGAGGTGACTATTGTAATGCCCCCCAAAGCAGTGTCTGGAGCTACTGCCCAAATTGCTCTCTCTCAGTTATATTACTATTCCTGGGTGCACCTCTAACTACTATGCTGTTGGTGAGCACTGCTTCTATCATAGGCAAGGCTAGCCATTCTGAATCGCAGGCAACAAAGACTCTTGGTACTTACCCTCAGAAGTTGGACTAGACCCAGTGGATACCAAGGGAATGGAAATGCCTCTTGTTCAGTTTCACTCAGAAGGGGTGGGGATTCAGACATACTTCTATGTTTAGTATTTCTTACTAGCTACCTTTAAACTTTTTTAATCACACATCTATCCCTTCCTGTTCTTTGTACAGAATATCTAGGCATCCACATTTAGGTGGGAACCCTTCCAAAAATTCATCCCTTATCCATTTTCTGAAATCACACTTCTAGAAATACAATTTGGTGTTGTCTGAGGTCTGAACCATGTACAAGGTAGTTGAACTTTACATGCTTGAATACTCCAGGACACAATGATGGCATTCAATCATGATGAAAAAAAACCAAGTGGAATGACATGATCTGATTATGAATGTTGAGTTACTTACCTAAAAAGGTGAAGATGGTGTTGCTCTACATTGGGCAAAGTAAGCAGGGAAGAGTCATGTATCCATCGCCCTTGGATCACCATCTGCACCAGATTGGTGATATTCAGAGCAGCCACTAGCCATCCATGGTATGCTGCAACATCCAGCATTGCCTAAGTGAACAAGACACAGAAAATAAAGGAATTTAACTACCTCCCTCTTATTCTTTCCAGATGCATACCACTAAGAACATTTATTTTCATGATTAATGTACAAAGATTTAGATTACTATTAAATGGGAATATGACTATTTTTGAGTCAACTCCCACTGAAGTCAACAGGAGTCTATTGACTTTAATGGGCATCTGATTAGGTCCTAAATCATCATTAAAATTTACCTTAAATGGAGCAGCAGTATTTGCTGTTAGAAACAAATTCCAAGTTTGGCACTACACTAGTCTAGAATATTACTGAGAATAGCTCCCAGTTCTGTCTACAAGATATACATCTTTTTTACTTGGTTACTTAACAGTAAAATGATAAAGCTACAATTAAATGCAATATTAATTTTGAAGGTTTCCCTATCAGACCAAAGTTGGCAAACCAGCAGAATTATTTAAACATATTTGATCTACTTTAAAATATAATGAATATTAAAAGTGTGTCCTTAAAATGAATATGTGATGACTAATAATAGTACCAAGCATTAGCTAATATTATAACTCCCCTTTTACATGAGGAAACTAACGTACAGAAGCAAAGCAACTCCCAAAACCTAATCTAGTGAGTTACTGGCAGAGTTGAGATTAAAGCTCAGAAAGTTTCTCATTTGGACTAATTGGAAAACAAGAATTCCATGTAGCAAAGCAATTTCAGTTCTTTGTTCTGTATTGGCACAAAACTGAGATCTTTAGAATCTTTCTTCCCCAAAATGTGAGATTAACTTCAACATGCTCAAACATAATTATTAGCTCCAAAAGAAGTAATAACCTGGTGGGTAGGGCAGCCACCTGTGAGACATCCAGGTTCAAATCCTTCAAATCAGATGGAGCAGGACCATGATTCTGAGTCTGTCATATCCCACCAAGCTATAGTTTGCTCTTGAGCGGGTTTCTCTCTCTCATTTTGAGCAGAAATTCCATACTGAATTTCATAAATCATCTCAAAGAACGTTTTATCCAAGCTGATAAATTTCTGTCTGTGAACTAACATTTTCTGACAAAATCGATTTAACTGAATAAAGTCAACCACCTGTTCAATCAGACCATACTACCATATTTACTCAAATCCAAGATGAGATATTTTCCCCATTTAACACTGAGGAAAAAAGTTTCATTTTGGATTCAAGTATGAGGCAGTGAGGGCACAGGGAGCTGGTGTCTGCCCTCCTGCCACCTCTGCTGTCCCTGGTTGCTCCCCTGCCTGTCTCCCCTCTGCAGCCTTGGGCCCCCTTGCCCCTACCACCTCTGCATCCCCTGAGCCCCACCTGCCTCTGCTGCATCCCTTTGCTCCACTCCAGCAAGCACTGATCCCACTGCAGCCTGAGGCATGCAGCACGGCCCCAGCCTGGCCTGACAGCAGTGGCATAGTGGCCTTGGCATTTATGAATGGATGGGCAGACATAGGGGGCAAGAGACAGGGGTCAAGCTGCTTGACCCCCCCCACCCCCACTGCTGCTGCAGCAGTGGGGGAAAAATTTAAGGTGACACTCCAAATATTAGATTGTATATATGGAGAATTGATAACAAAAATGATACATTTTCCATGTATAGAATCTAATTATTGGGGGTTGACTTAAATTCAAGGTCTTGGATTCAGGTAAATATGATACTACTTATAACTAAGCCACAGATAGTTTCCAGTTCCATTTGCAATTTTATTTAGTTAATTTTTAAAATTCAAAAGGATGTAGCTAGCTTAAGGTCCAATTCTGCAAAGACCTAAACATATGCTCAGCTTTATGCACTGTGAGCAGTTCCAAGTATTTCCCTGGGATGCCACAGTGTGTAAATTAAGCATGTGGGTAAGTCTTTGCAAGATTGGACCTACACTC